GAACCTAGAGTTTTTAAGTCATTTTTGTGTATAGAACATTTTTCATTACTGTGTCGATTTCATTGATTTCTTAGGACCATTCCTGTTTCTATGTATTTATGTGTCAGTTTTTATCATTATATTTTTCCATTAGATACCTATTAAAAGTTTCTCAACTTATTGAGATAGAGTTGCACATATTTTTATTACATTTGTTATTTTGCTACATCTTTAGTTACATGGTTTTCACTTATAGCACTTTTCTTTTTTTTTTTTTTTAAGATTTCATCTATTTATTTATTTGACAGACAGAGATCACAAGTAGGCAGAGAGGCAGGCAGAGAGAGAGGAGGAAGCAGGCTCCCCGCTGAGCAGAGAGCCCAATGTGGGGCTCGATCCCAGGACCCTGAGACCATGTCCCAAGCCGAAGGCAGAGGCTTAACCCGCTGAGGAACCCAGGCGCCCCCATTCTCTCTTCTCTTACTCAAACTTTAGATAGAATTTTCAGTTCTTCCAAAGAATCAAAATTTTGTTTTGTTGGTCTTCCCCATCAAATGTTCGTGTTTTTGCTCTTCCCTTTATTATATCTGCCCTATACTTTCTTTTAGCTTACTCTGTTACCATTTTCCAAAATTTTCCCATTGTACAATGTGCCAGGTATTAGATAAACTGACTGGCATTTGTTTTGCTTTGTCTCTACTCATTGACTTATTAACAGTGAATGGATTTCTAAATGGCTACTGACCAGAAGAAAGTCTACTGAATATCTGAACTGTTTTTGAGCATTCAGGATTCATACTAAAGAAAAATTATAAGCTGGCTCTTCAAGATTACACATACAAATTTAAAATACAAAAGCAGACTTCTTATATATTAGCTTACAAACTCTTTTAAGTAGTGGCTATAAAATGAGGCTGACCATCAGAATAACCACAGGGTATTTTTAATACACACATTCCTGAGTCTCACTCCTAGATATTCTGCCTGAAGTTGGGTGCAGGTATCTATATATATTTAGACTTCTTTAGGTGAATTTGGATGATCAGCCTTGTTTTGGAACCAGTGCTTTGTATTACCTTTTAAGTAATCTTGCAATCTGATGCTCTTAAAATAAATCTCATGTTTTTCTCCCTTAGTTTTTTTCCTCCTTCATTAGCCTCAATATTGAAGTATATTTCACAAAGTCACTCTAAGCTAGTGCTTTAAGAGACAGGAGTTAAAAACTTCTGCCTGACATCATCCTCCAAAACAAGGATCCTTCATTTTGTACATAATGTCCCTGACTATGCTTATTTCAGAATGAATGATAATGATAAGCTTGTGAAATCAACATGTTGGACCATGTATTTCTATTTTATAAATGCAGAATAAGTCAGGAATGCCAAATGGCAATGTCACAATACTTCTGTTCTCTGCCAACCTATTTGCTTATGGACTCAAATATGTTGCTCTTGAAACAGATGGCTCTCCCTACTCCGCAGGTTATTACATAAGAAGGTAAGGTGCTGTGGATCTGGTATGATTTCCAGGAAGACCAGAAGAATGCCTCTGACAAGGTTTTAGGTGTAGGGGAAAGGACAGAACTTTAAAACCAAACATGTCTGGATTGAAATCCTGATTCTGCCTGTTTCTGATTATAAGAACTTAAGAAACTCAGCTCATTTGGGCTCAATTTTCTCTTCTTTAAAAATGGAGATGATAATACCTCCTTCATGTGCTTGTGGGAAACGTGAGTACTATGTATATAAGGTAACTGGCAAATAGAAGGTGCACAATGAAAGATTTCCTTTTTTAGAATTTCACTTTCATCCCTAAAGATTTAGTAAAATTCTGACAATAATAATTTTAAAAATGCTTCCATTAAAATATGTCTCTTTTCATATTCTGCTTGGTATTTTGTGTATCCTGCATCCCCGTTCTATATGCAGGATGGTGTTTCCTTGACCTAAAGCTTCTGTATTGTTTTAAAATTTTTCATCTTTGTTAAAGCAAATTTTTAAGATGCTATTTGTATCGAGTGCTTTTTGAACTTCATCTCAAATATTTTATTCTCTCCATGGCTACCACAATCAACTTTGGGCAGGTAAAACCTGTCAGCACCCTGCCTTAGCTATATCCAATTCTCTTATTTCCTGCCCTATGACTTCCCTGACACGTGATATTAGATGTCTATGGAAACCTGGTTGGTACCAATGCATGCATAAACCTGGAAGACTGGCATCCTAGGTGATAATCCTTAGATCAAGGCAGAGTTGAAGATAGTGGCTAAATGCCTGCTTTTCTGCCCCTCCTACTGACCATTCAGGCATGTATTCTACAGGACCCTAAGAGTGCCTCATTGGGACCAAGCCTCAGTTGCCCACAGTTATGACCAACTCAAAGATGCATCCTTATTCTAGCAATCCCTTCTTCCCCATACCACTTATCCCAGTCTTCAGTCATGACCCCCAGAGATGACATCTTTAAGTAAACTACCTTAAAAAAAAGTCTTGGACTCTGCTTTCTCAGGTTAACGTAGAATCACCAAGGCCAAACAATTTGTTAAGCAAAATTGCTGAGTGCCCGAGCTTACAAATTACAGCAAGAATGGCTGGGCTCTGTGAGAGTGTGTATTGTATCTCTCTAAGAAGTATGTTCTGTTTTTTCTCCCTATACTTTCTGCTCCTCTGAAGTGAGAAAAACTGATCTGCCACTCTGGTGGGATAGGGCTGATATTCCACTTCTACTGGGATCTGAAACAGATTAGCCTTTGGGCCAAATGTGGGGTCATGACCCTTCCTATGTCATACTCCACCTCTATTCTAGTAGACTTTGTTCTGAGACTCCTATTTAACTACTTCACCCATGACATCACATAGCTTAAACATTTACTCTCAAACCTAAGATCCCTAAATCTATCTCCTACAACATCATCTTCTGCCACCCCTTGTAAAAGAATATTTCCTCCCTAAAATTTTACTCAGTGTGGGTTTTATATCAGGGGACAGTATTACCAAACACTCAGAAATAGAAAATGATGGCACCAAGTGGTACATTCTTGGCAAAATGTTCCTTTATCTTTTTACACTCTCCTGCTAGAGGACTTTCCAGAATCTGCACTCCTCTCTCTCTGCCCTGATTCAGGGAGGGTTGTTTCAGGGTGTTCATCTGTTTACATGTTAATGGATGTTGTGCTTTTTTCCCCTGGTGTATCCCTTTGGGGTGGGTGAGGAGAATTAATCTGCAAAAAAGTAGAGCCACCCATATTCTGCATATTTAGATCTGGCCTTGAAGAGAGGACTACAGATGGGGCTTCCTTCACTCTAAGCTCTATTATACCCCAAATATCTTCTGTTCTCTAGCAAGGCCAGCTTTCTCCTTTAATCAGCCATATGTTTTTGCTGCATTTTGTTTTGATTTCACCACAGGCAATTTCTAACCCCCTCTCCCCTCTCCCAGAAGACTGAAGTATTTTCCCCTGATAGATTTTTTTTTAAACTTACTTAAACTCCCCATATGACCCCCCACCCCTGTTCAATATTCCTTTCCTTTATTCCAGCACGCAGAGGCACAGAAGAAAGAGAACCCTGGAATCAGCCTGGCTTAGGTTCTAATCTGAACTCTACTCTAGTAGTAATCATCTACTTATTTATTTTTTATTTGAAAGAAAGAGAGAATGAAAGATAGCTCACAAGAGGGGGGAGGGTCAGAGGGAGAAGCAGACTCCCCGCTGAGCAGGGAGCCCGATGCGGGACTCCATCCCCTGACTCCAAGATCATGACCTGAGCCGAAGGCAGCCTTAACCAACTGAGCCACCCAGGCGCCCTACATGTGTGATTTTGAGCAGGTCTTTCTCCTTTTCACCCTGAGGGTCTTCCCCTATAAAATAAAGTTGACAATGCTTCGATAAATGGCGGGGCAGAGAACCACAGAATTCGTGCTAAGGATAAATAATATACAGAGTAAATGCTCAGGAAATGACAGCTCCTTTCTCTCTGTTAATAGCTGTATTTTACTTAAGCGTATACTCAGAGTTATGCCTTACTCTAGCTTCCGTGTCAGCTAAGCCTATGCTCCCCAGCTGCCTCTGCTTCCTTTCTCCTATATTTCATATTCATGCCGTTTAAGACTACCCCTTGCTCGGTTTTCAGTGAATGTCCCCGGCCTTCCACAAAACGTATTTTGCAGTAGGACTTGTTCATTGCTGAGTAACAACAAACATCATTACCTCACACAGTTTCTGAGGGACAAGAAGCTTGGAGGATCTTAACGGTTCTCACAGAGTCTCAAAAAACTGGGCGGGGCTGCGGGGCATTTCGAAATCTCCCGGGGGCTGGAGGTCGTAAAACAGCACAGGTGAGTCCTGCGCTCCCAAAGCAGAGCGTTCCTCAGAAACCTTCCGGAAATGAAACTGTCGTAAAGCGAAGGGCGTTTCCCCGCCGCTGCCTTCCCGCTTTCTGAAAGTTTGCCTCGCGCCTCAGCGCTTTTAAGACCGAGCTGCGTGGGTAGCTGTTTTCAGTGACTAAAAGAAATCTGAAGGGGATTTTCACTTTTTAGGGAAAAAAAGCTGTTACTGTACGACAGCAGGTCTTTCGTTAAGACGAGGTGGCATAAGCTAGGTGTGTGACCCCCGCCAAATTTGGTTATCGTTTGTTTATTGATTTGCTCACTGTGGGTCTACGGTCCGGCTTCTCCGACCTGAACAGGAAATCCCTAGCTTTGGGTCACATTGTTCTAATTTGAGAACTAAATGGTTTGGAGTTCACAAAACCTAACGGTATTTTTGCTTGGCGGAAGTCTAACCGGTCTGCGTAGAAACGACCTGCAGTGAAGCTAAGATTGTCCTCGTGGGGCCACTTTGCGTGCATTCCAGCGGCTGAAAATGTGCCTAGCAGGTGCAGGACTCTGCCATCTAGTTGAACAGGGACAGTCTGGGCTTGCACCGTATTCGAAGTTGATTTTAACAGGTCCTTCATCAGCTATGGGAAGACTAAGGAACCGTGATGCCGGCCGCTTTGTTTGCTTTCCCAAATCCACTCCTAAGTGTAGAAGACTGACCTGCTTGCACTTGATCAGCAGGCTCCCTTGACTGCAGGCTTCTCACGTAAGTGCTGGGAGGGGGTTGGAAAGACCAGAAGACAGTGAGGTTGAGGTATTTATCCAGATCACAGCATTAGCTACCTCTAAAGCCTGAGGTCCTCTCAGCTCTCCACCTCAGGTTCCTGAAGCCACGCCCTCCCCCTGCCCATTCAGGCTTAGGAGAAGTGACTTCCGTGTTTATTAACTCCAGGTACTCGATTATCACTTTTAACCCCCAAACCCTGCCCACAACTTTTTAAGCAGTCCTTTATTAAAGGCTTCTCCATACCCAGTTTAAATGTGTCACCTAACTACCATGAAGTGGCTGGTTTTAAACAGCTTAGCCTCCCAGGCTTCCTGCAGGTGTACATTAACTGTATAGTCCTGAGTGATTAAAAATAATGGACTATTGAATTACTTAGTTGTTAACCGAATGAAGCTTAGTGACTGGCAGAAGTTTTCATTTCTAGAAGATCTCTGTGAATAATCATTCATTTCCAAAAGCTTAAATTCAAGACCTGAATATTAACTAATTGAGGGTCATCAATATTAAACCCAGCAAAATGCTTCATGATGTAAAATAATAGGTAGCTTGTATTAAGTGCTGTGTGACAAGCATTGCATCAACTGACTTACATTTTTTTGTAATTCCTACAAATTTATTTTTACAAAATCTGTATTATTTTAGTCTTCACAACTGTTGTGTGAGGTATGTTATTTTTGCCATATGACAGGTGTGGAGACAGGCTTAAGGAGAACAAGTACCTTGCCCAGTTCCATGTAGACAGCTACTGATGGAGCTGGTATTCAAACCCAAGCCATCACAATCCAGAGTCTACATGCTACTCAATTTCCTCCTTAGTTGATGAGAAGGTAACTAAGAAAAAATGACAAAGGTATGTCTTAGTTTAAATGAAAACTATTTGCTAATTTTTGTATGGTATAAATGGGCTCTTTTGAATTATAAGTTCTATGACTGCTTATAAAACTTCTGTTCATTCCAAGCTTGTTAGTTGGTTTTGTGCAATAAAGGGAGCCAGAGCAGTTGGGAATTTCAAGTGTGGGTCGTAAGTACAAATAATTCTGAATTCACCAAATACACACACACACACACACACACACACATACACACACACCCTACATACAGGAGTCTAACTAACTCCTACAACTACTCAGCAATTCTTCAACTAGGAAGCAGTTGTCTTAGGTCTTTTTATAAATCTCCTTATAAATAATGGTTGTGTTTACACAACCTGGAATACTGGATTTTACCCTGAATGAGTCATTGCTTTGGAATAATGTAAACAGAGCCAGTGTTAAGGAAGAAGATTTCTTTGTTAGTGAAGCTCTGAGCATTTAAACAGCTGTTTGATTTCACTCCAGAGGTGTTTGCATTTCATTGACAGATGGAGTAATTTCCAAATGATTTTCAATCAATATATACTAGACAAGTGGTTGAGAATTATCTCTTTAGGGAAGAAAAAAAAAAGAAAAAAGTGCAGTTTAACCATGGTGTCTTATTTATTTTTTTAGCATCTGTTATTAAATAACTACCACAAAACCACATGTTGAGATGTGAAATTGTATGGAATGGTCCATATTTAAAGATGTTTATTTTCATGTTATTTGGTAGTTCTGTGCTCTGTTTTTATTTTTGTTTTCTTGAAGAGGAAGCACTATATGTGTCTAAAGCATGATTTTTGCCTAAATTTATGCCCATGTTACTCTTGGCTTCTCTAAGAACTGTCAAATTATATTTCTAAGTGTTACATATAATTCATGTATTAGCAATAATTCTAGGGGTTTTAAATAAAACCCACAAGACATTATTATTTTTATTTTATATAGCCAATATTCACTTGGATTTACCCACATATTAATCATATTCTTTCTTCTTTGTTTCTTTTTGTATTCATCTCAGACCATTTTCCTTTTGCCAGAAATACATTTTTTAGAGTTAATTGTCTCAGTTGCTGGGGGAAAATTCTCTTTTTTCTTTCTTTTTCTGTTTTTGCTTGAAAACATTTTTATTTCACATTCATTCATGAAACATAATGGATGGCTATAGAATAGTTTGGCAATTTTTTTTCCAGCACTTTTGGGGTATTATCCCACTGTTTATGACTTTCATTCTGGCTATTGATAAGTTAGCTGTTAGCCTCATTGATCTGAATGATAGTGGACTCTGTTCTCTGCTGCCAAAATCCCTTTTGGGGATAGAAGGGATTTTACTCTCAGATGTTGAGGGTGCTACCAGCTGACAGCTTGTGGCTTTCAACCTTACTGAAAATTGCTCTCAACTGAGCAGACCCACCACAATTAAGTTCAGGTCCCACTTTTAGAAGCCGCCTATATCTGAATATTCCTCTGACCCCTAAACCATGTGATATGAGACACTGCCAGAATTGAGTGAGGGCCACAGCAGGAAATGGCTTTAGGACAGGGGGTCTTGCCATTTGGGCCATTTGACTTAGCAGACCCCAAGTTAGTAGATGCATTAAAGGTAAAAAAAGGCACATTGTGAAGTTTAAGGTAAGCTAAAATAGAAGAAGCACCTTTAGAGTTCTGAAACAAGGCAATATCATTAGTAGCAGAAAATCATACACCTTTCCAAACCCACTTAAATGTGCTACTTTTCCCTGGCAAAAACTAAGTTTGTGACTACAAGGCACAAAGTGACCGTGAATCCAAAAGTTCCCCATGGAAGCAGGGTTCTGCCCAACACACCAAACTGGGCAGACCAAGAAGTGATCAATCATAGCTGAAAATGAAATATCGGGATCAAAGCCAAAGCATGGCCAGAGGTGCAAATGTGAGGCACAAAGAGGTGGGCATGTCACCCATCGTGATCTTATTAGTAACAAGCTGATGGAGAAGGAAGAAAGTTGAGTTTGGTTCACAGAAGGGCTATCTCCTGACCTTGAATGTGGGTCACTACATGGGCAGAGCCAAAAATGGACTTTGGCCATAATGCATCCCTATTCAGTGATAGTCCTGAAGATGAAGTCTATTAGGTGAAATTCCCCCAGTGGGCAGATCTTTGGGCAAGGTACCTGATCTTGTTTATGTGGAAAAAGAAGTGTCCTAATGTTAAATGTGCATGGACTCAACAAATACTTCAGCTGATTAATCAAACATGTAGAAGAAAAAATATTAGAAAATCAGGGACAACGGTCTAGAGCTGAACTATGTGGGTAGGCTTTCAGGCTTGAAGAGAGATCTTTGTACCTGAATTACATCTTTTCACCACCATACAGTATCTTCCAAGGAAGAGGTACTAAGCAACAAATAGAGAAAATGATTTGGCCAGCTGACATTGGTTAGCCTCTGTCATCAGCTATCCCAGTGCTGGCATAATGGGTTTGTAAATGTAGAAGATGGTGGGAGGAAAAGAAGTTATACATGGCCCCACAGTCATGGGTTTCTACTCATCAAGGCTGCTGCTAAATATCGAACCTACCAGCAACATTGACTAATGTGTCCCCTTATAACGGAATATATCTCAAGGATACCAACAATTCATTACTGGTATAAGTTGCCTCCATTGCACCCCCTCTATCCTGAAAGGAACAAAGATTTATTTTGACTTCATAACACATTTGAGGAGTGAGTTTGACTTATCCACAGGGCCTCAATCAACACCATTGTTTAAGGTCTTAGAGAGTTCCAGTGACCCGTATGGATTTCTCATATAACACTGCATTGGACCAAGGAACACACCTTCTGAAAAATACTATGGTATGATGGATAAGTATAGATCCACATCACCCACAGGCTACAGGCCTAAGAGAGTGATTAAATGCTGAGTAATCTAGGGGCTTGAGGGAGGGCTAGGGTCTGAGAAAAGAATGTTCGGTGGGTCCATATTTTGTACCACAGGGCATGGGTAAGGCTGTGGATATCAGTAGAAGATTCTGGTACATTCCCAAGGCCTTGCCAGTGTAGTTCCAACAGATAGATCAAGAGCAAAGTTCATGTCAAAAAACCAAGTAGTAGGAAACTGAAAAGGATATGTGAACCAAACACATCTCCCCCAATGTCATGATGTTTCTCACTTCCTGAGATGGAGGGAAACAGTGAGGAGATCCAGGCCCAGAATAGCCCTAGTAGGCAGTTTGACCTTTAAATTGATGAATTTAAATCCTGGATGGAATTAATAAGTTTTAATTACTTGTCACTGTTCAAACCAGAAGAGACGATATTGCTTTTCAGTGGCAAGATTAGGAGGCTTTTCACACCTGCAGAAATAGGGACAGCAGAGCTAAGTTGAGCTCAGGAGCAGAATAGGTAAATTTGCACTTCTGCATGGCTAAGCTGTGATGATTTCAAACATTCCATGTGTAATCTTACATGTGGGAGCCCCGACAAGCAGCTTTCAGAATTTCCTGCGACCCAGCTCAGGATTAGTCACCATAGTCCATTCTCATCCCTAGGCGAGGGAGAATTTAAAGAAGGAAGAGAGAAATTCATCTCATTTTAAAAATATGAATCCAGGGGCACCTGGGTGGCTCAATGGGTTAAAGCCTCTGCCTTCAGCTCAGGTTAAGATCCCAGGGTCCTGGGATCGATCCCCGCATCGGGCTCTCTGCTCAGCAGGGAGCCTGCTTCCTCCTCTCTCTCTGCCTGCCTCTCTGCCTACTTGTGATGTCTGTCAAATAAATAAATAAATCTTTAAAAACAAAACAAAAAAACCCATGAATCCAGTTTTTGTTTTTTTGGTTTTTTGTCACCACCCAAATGCCATTTAATGATTCACTTATAGCACAGACACCTTTACAAAACACTCCAAAAATTCTCCAGAACTCATCCTCATAAGTTACTAGTGGGAATGCAAAATTGTTTAGCCACTGTGGAAGATGGTTTGGCAGTTCCTCAATAAGGTAAACATAGAATTACCCTATAATCTAGCAGTTCCACTCCTAGGCATACCCAAAAGAGTTAAAAACAGGTATTCAAATAAATACTTGTACACAAATATCATAGCAACACCACTCACAATAGCCTAAAGCTGGAAACAACCCAAATGTCCATCAACAGAAGAGTGGGTGCATCAAATGAGCTATACCCATACAACAGGATATTATTCAGCCACAAAAAGGAGTGAAGTACTAAAACACACACTACAGGGGCGCCTGTGTGGCTCAGTGGGTTAAAGCCTCTGCCTTCTGCTCAGGTCATGATTTCAGGGTCCTGGGATCAAGACCCGCATCAGGCTCTCTGCTCAGCAGGGAGCCTGCTTCCCACTCCCCCTCTCTCTGCCTGCCTCTCTGCCTACTTTGATCTCTGTCAAATAAATAAGTAAAATCGTTAAAGTACACACTACAATGTAGACAAAGCTTAAAAACATGCTAAGTGGAAAAAACAGACACAAAAGGCTGCAGATTGTATGATTTCCTTTATTTGAAATATGTCTAGAATAGACAAATCCTTAGACTATTCTAGACAAATATCTCTAAAATAGACAAATCCTTGGATACAGAAACAGATTTGTGGTTTCCAGAGGCTGCAGGGGGGGAGAAATAAGGGGTGACTCCTGATGGGTATGGGGAATGAGAATATTCTGGAATTAGATAGTGGTGGATGTACTCCATGCCCCTGAATTACACACTTTAAAATGATTTAAATTATAAATTTTGTTATGTATACTTTACCACATACAAAACAAAACAAAACAAAAAACTCCAAAACTCAATCAGTAGGTATTTTTCTTATTCTCACCAAACCATTTTAGGTCTCAAGGAAAGTTTTCTGCAGTACTGGCTGAAATGGGTCACCAGTTTCTCCTTGTGGGAGGCAACCCAAGACTCTGACTACACTAAGTGAAGCTGGTCAGCTGTTTTACAAGGAAAACACCTGGCACCAAATCTTGGGCTCTCTAAAGAACTGCTAGCTAAGCCTCTTCCCCAGGGTAAATTCAGGGAGAAGCGCTATGAGTCTGAGCTTGCCAGGTTCATGCGGGCCACACCCAGCAGTTAATAAGTTGTTCGGAACTCTACTTGCCCCATCTTAATAACTAGTTCTTTTCCCAGCTTGTAGGTTCCCATAATCATGTGGCCACTCAAATGAGAACAGCGAAAACCACTAACAATTTGGAGACGAGACAGAGTCCAGAAAAGGAAGCAAAGTCATGAAAATATAAATTTAGCTTGAGGTGTTCCACGAACATCAAGCAGAGGCCTAGAATTAGGGCTTGTTCTAAATTTCAAAATTGACAAAATAGTGGCTTCTCTGAAAGCAGAGTCATTTGGGTAAGGAAATCTCTCAAGTAGGTATCTGGATGAGCACAAGGGAATTGACTAAAGATTGCAAAATTTTCAGAATTCCAAACAAAAGATGTTGGTCCATCTGGTGACAACTGGTCAGGACAGTTTGCCATAACATAAACCTGCAAAAACCAACCTGCGGGTAGCAGAGGAAACTGTAGCATCCTCTACCCCAAAATGGTGGTTAAGAGCACTTGTTTTTTAAGTTAGGACCAGGCCAAAAAAAAAAAAAAAAAAAAATACTCCCCCCCTCAAAAAAAGCAAATATTGGGGGAAAAAAAACAAACAAACATATAAATACTGGAGAAGTAGGCAGGAGCCAGATGATGTCAACCTTGAGGTCTGGGATTTATTCTAAGCCCAATTAAAAGTTATTGCAGAATTTTAAGCAGAAAGTTGACATAATATAATTTGTTAATAAAAAGTCTCTGGTTGTGGTGCAGAGGATAGGCAGGTTGCAGGAATTTGAGACAAGAATCATTGCCAGGACAGAAGACCAGAGGTTGATGGCTTGGACCAAAGGAGTAATAGCAGAGCTCTAGACAGGTGGATGGATTGGGAATGTCTTTAGGGGTAAAATCTATAAAGCATGCTGATAGAATGTGTGGAAGGGGACTAGAAAGAGGGGAGTCAAGAGTGACTTCTCCATCAAGAGGAAGGCTGTAACACCTGGACATTTTGTTGCATTAGGCAAAGCCAGTGTCCACTCTCTGGGAAATCTAGTATGCATTTGCCCCTTCATTTCTACAAGGTTGTGCTACCAATACAAGGTTGAGTGAATGTGATATATTTTTTTTTTCTAAATCTTTGCTAATATGAGAAGTGAAAATGGTTTCTCTATTATATCTTTTAAATGAATAAGGAGGTAAAACATATGTTCATATAATTGTTGGTCATTGGTGTCTCTTATATTTGTTAATCATCTGGTCTCTCTTTTCTTACTGGTTTGTGAGATTTGACCACCAATCACTTGGATGCCGTTTGTCTCCCTTAGACCTCCTAAGATTGCCCTCCTCTTATTTCCCTGACAACTCTGGTTCTGTTGCCTTTATTTCTCCAATATTCTGCCCTAACCCCACTCCCACCTCACCAAGCTTCTACTCTCAGTCCTCTTTCTATGATGTTCCTCGATGATCTCTTCTATTTACGTAATTCACCGATTTCCTCTACGTTAATCGTCCTAAAATCTCTATATCCAACCATGACCTCTTTCCAGATGTTCAAGCTGATGGTTCCTACTGTCTACTCTGCATTTTCATCTCTATGTCCAGCAGACACCTTCCTTAAAACATGTCTAACGTAAATCCACAGGCCCTCATTTCCTCTAGCCAACTTCTTATTTCCTATTTCTATTCATAATACCAAACTCATCTGAATTTCTCAGACTATCACTTCCCTTATTCATTTCTTCTTCTTCTTTTTTTTAAACAAATATGTATAGAGCATCTGCTATTTGCCTGGCACTGTGCTGGGCCCTAAAGATTTGCCCCTTAATCTCTTTCCCTATATTAATTCTGTTATTAAATCTTGTGAATTTTCTCTTTGTGATAATCTTTCAAAGTTATTACCTCCTTTCTTGTTTTTGTTCCTCTTGCTGCCCTCATAATGCCTAGTCTCCCCATCAGATGTTTATATCTCATCCATAGCAACACCACATTCCTTCCTCCTCTCACCTGAGCAAGATGAATCACCCTAAAACATAGCGCTAATCATCTTACTTCCTCCCTCAAAAACCATCTTCGGTAACACAATTACAAATAAAGAAATATCCCAACCCTTCAGCCAACATTGATGGCCTTAGACCACATCTCTTATTCATCCCTGCTCCCCATCCAGCTATGAAAGCACTTGCATATTTGGCTTTCCTCCAGCTTTTTGTGTCTTACTGCTTTATTGAATATATCTTTTTTTATTAAGATATAATTTATATACATTAAAATGAAAAGAGCTTGCTCATGCAGTTTGATCAATTTTGATAAATGTCTACACTCATGAAACCCATACCACACAAATCAAGATACAAAATATTTCCAGTACCCAAAAAGTTCCCTTTGCTCCTTTCCAACCAACTCCCACCCCAGCCACAGGCAAATGCTGTTCTGATTTCTATCAACATAGATTAGTTTTGCCTTTTCTTGAATTCTCTATAAATAGAATCATATATAATATACTTTTGGGGGGTCTAGTTTCTTTAGCTAAACATAATGCTTATAGAATTCATCCCTGGTTTTTTATGTGCCAATGATTGATTCCTTTTTTATTGCTGAGTAGAATACCAAGCTGTGAATATACCACAGTTTGTTTATTCACTTTCCTGTTTTTGAACATTTGGGCTGTTTTCAGTTTGAGACTATTATGAATAAAGTTGCCATGAATATTCACTTACAAGTCTCTTTGTGGAAACATGATTTCATTTCTTTTGTATAAAAATCCAAGAAAAGAATTTGGGGTTCTATGATGTGCATATGCTTTCTTTAGAAGAGATTTTTACACAGTGTTTCCAAATGGTTTTGTCACTTTACACACCCACCATCAATGTCTGGGAGTTCTATTTTCTCCACATTGTCTCATACCTGCTATTGTAAGTCTTTTTAATTTCATCCAATTAATTTCATCTAATTGTTGTGAAGTGGTAACTCAGTGTGATTTAATGTGCAATTCCCTGACAACTCATAATGTTTACCACCTTCCATGTGCTTCTTAACAATTTGTAGATTTTATTTTGTAAAATACCCTTCAAGTTTTTTTTTCCAATTTCATTGGGTTTATGTCCTTTTATTGATTTGTAGTTGCTCTTTATATATTCTAGATACAAATCTTTTATCAATGTATGTATTAGAAATATTTTCTTCAATCTGAATTTTACCTTTTTATTTTCTTAGCACATCTTATGATTAGCAGAAATTTTTCATTAGACAAAGTCCAATTTTTCATATTTTTTTCTTTTAATGGTAATGCTTTGTGGAGTATTTTTTTTGGTGGCATCTCTTTAAGAAATCTTTGCCTACTAAGTAAGTATAAATTCTGATGCTTTTTATAGATATTAATAGGATGACTCTAAAAGTTATATGAAAATAGAAAAGATTTAGAATATCAAAAGCTATCTAAAAAATGAAAAGCAAAATAATAGGACAAAAACTACCTGATTTCAAAATTTCCTACCAAACAATAGTAATCAACATAGTAAAATGGTATTTTTGTAAGGATTGACCAGTAGATCAGTGGAAGAGCATGAGATTGTGAAGTAGACCCACATGTACAAGATCAGTTGATTTTTGATAAGGAAACAAAGACAATATAAAGTATATGAGAAACTCTATTCAGCAAGTTGTTCTAAATGACTAGATAAATATATGGAAAAATAAACTTTGCACCACACGCAAAAATTTATTTGCAATGGACCATATGGCTGAAGATGAAAACTGAAATTATAAAGCTAGAAAAAAAATCTCACTAAACCTAAAGGTTTCTCCCTCTTATAATTTCATTTTGACAGATTATCCATATTTCAAGGCTGAACTCAGATATAACCTTCTTCATGAAACCTTTTCTTACCACCCCTATAAAAATAAATGCTACCTCATCTAACTCTTAGAGCACTTTCCTTATGCCATTTTAAACATATTGTTTAAAATGTATTATTTTAAAATGACCATTGTATTATGGTCAAGTGTGTACGTGTGTGCATATCATAACCATCCTTCATAACCAACCTTCTATAACCATCCTTCATAGCCAACCTCCCATAATGTGTTCCTTGACCATATCTTGTTCTTCACTGAATGTCCTGGACCATGCAGCAGAGTATTCACCTATAGTAAAACATAAAATTTTAAAAAATGATTTTGAAAATGTAATTCCATACCAAAGTATTAAAGAAAAAAAGAAGGAAAGGAAGAAAAAAACCTGCTGATTTCTTGTAGGCCAGGGAGAGGGGCAGTAAGATAGAGGTAAAGATAAATCAAATACAAATGAATTTTAATAAATGTATCAATATATATTTATACAATTAGCAATCACTCTCCAGTGAGGACATGATTGCAAAATTGGATAGGACCTTGCCATGAGCAACTACAAAGCCCTTATCAAAAAATAATGTAAGCTTTAAAGCTTTTCTTTTGATATAAACTAAGAACTGAGTAACTCTCTGGAGAAATCAATTGGCAATAAATGTGATATTCCCCTAAAAGATATCCTGTATACTTCTGTTTATAGAAAAATCTATGAGCTCAGTATTGTAAATAATTTCATTATCATTCCCATTGTTGCATATTTGCTCTGAAAGATTATTTATATATTTATGTAACTTCCAGTTTCATTAAAAATGTTTATTATTTATTAAGTACATATATATTATTTTATATATATTACATACATATGTATATATATTTCTTTAGTAACTCTTCTTGTATTTTCTCAAACAAAATTCAGTCACTAATGTATTCACCTTCATGTATCAGTCTCACTTGGAAGGGAGTATGGCTCAGCAAAAGAACAGTTCTGAAGAGCATGACAGGACAGAGAGAGATGATAAAGGATTGAAAGAACTGCTCAGATTTTTAATTTCATTTGAACAATAAGGGAGCCAATTAAAATCTCAACTTATTTGTGAGACTCAATTAATACCTGTTTCAATATATTTTCTGAAATCATACCTCTGTTTCAAAGACTGTGGATCATTCCAGTTATGTTGGTATCTTTCTTTTTATATAAAAATATATTTGTGTTTGTAGGTAAAATATTTTTGCATGACTAAGAAAAATAATCTAAGAATGGCTGCAGCCTTATTGTCATGGTACATTTATTTTAAAATACACATGGTCTGTAAAGTACTTAAAAGAATGATGTAATTACCATCCTGTTATTATTACCATCACTGCTGTTAATAAGACTCTGCAGAAACAATGAAATAGAGGGCTAGGCCATCATTCATACTCCTGATGTGATTCTGCAGCCCTCAGCCACCTTCCTGGTCACTCCCTCATCCTCCCCCAGGCTTGGTTTCTCCTGGATTTGCAGCATGTCCTCAAGTCAGCAGGGATAATGGGGAACCAGTATGAGTACTCTTGGTCCTTTTCCTGAGAAGCCTTTGAATATTTGAAGCTTTTCTTTCTCTCTTTAGAGTTCATTTTCTCAGAACAAAATTCCTAATCCCTTTAAGTGGTCTTTATCTGATAGGTTTTTTAGAAATAACACCTCCTGGCTTCCATTTACACACAGTGTAATTTAACTTTTAAAGCAAAATTTTCCTTGCCATTTATTTACTTCCCATGTTATACATTAATGTATATTCTTTCCAAAAAATTAGTTTAATTTACATAGCTGTCATTTCAGAAACCAAACCAAAGAGATTAAGCATTCCCCTTCAAAAACTCATTGTTTATCTTTGTTATTTTTGATATAAGGTTTTCATCTATGTTTTGGTCCTAATGCCAGTAACTAAGGAAGAAAAATTTAATTGCATTTTCATATGAGAAATTTCTGAAAAATTAGGATAGAAAATACTTCTAAGAACATCATTTTATAAACATTCTTGTACACATAATGGATTACCATGTAATTCCTTTTCGCATATGTATATATACCCTGGTTGTGTTATCTGAAATACTTCTACTATTTATACTTTTTTAAAAAATTGAGATAAATGGACATGTAACATTATATTAGTTTCAGATATACAGGATGATTTGATATTTGTATATATTGTGAAATGAAAGCCATAATTAATTAATGTCCATCACCACACCGTTAAAAATTTTTTTTCTTGTCATGAGAACCTTTAAGATCTACTGTCTTACCAACTTCCAAAAAGCCAATACAATAGTGTTAACTGTGGTCACCATGCCACACTGTACATTACATCCCCAGGACTTACTTATTTTATAACTGGAAGTTTGTATCTTTTGACCCCTTTAACCCATTTTGCCCATCTCCCACCCCTCTGCCTTTGGCAACCACCAATCTGTTCTCTGTATCTGTTGAGTTACTGGTTCTTATGGACTTTTTTTGTTTTGTTTTTTTGTTGGTTAGATTCCCCATATAAGTGAGATCATACATTATTTGTCTTTCTCTCACAATTTATACCTTTATTCTAAAAAGTAAACTATGGGACGTCTGGGTGGCTCAGTTGGTTAAGCGTCTGCCTTCAGCTGAGGATATGATCCCAGAGTGCCGGGATGGCAAGCCCTGCATTGGGCTTCCTGTTAGGTGGGGAGCCTGTTTCTCCCTCTGCCTTCTGCTCCCCTTGCTTGTACTCTCTCTCTCAAATAAATAAATAAAATCTTTAAAACAAAAAACAAAACCCACATATTTAAAAAATTTAAAAAATAAAATAAAACATAAAAAGGAAACTATCCTTTTGCTACTGTTAAAAAACAAATTTTTTCTGAAAGAAATTCTGAATTTTGAATAGAGCATCTTTGCAGGTATGTTTCTGTGTCTTTAAGTATTTATTTATTCAAAGTAACTTTAAGTGACTGAAGATGTATACTCTGAATATGTATACATATTCCTCCCATGGAATTAAATATACCTTCTATATTGATTCATGTCTGCTGTGGTATGTGACTTGTGAAGTCTGGGAGAAGGAATGGGGAGAAGGTTTTGAAGGCATACATGAAAACTCTGGAAGAATTTCTTAATAACATGAATATGGAAAAAAAGTTTTAAAATTGTTATCTGTCAAGGCACAAACCTTGATCTGATGTCCGTTTCAATGCTCATTTAAATATTTCATACATTTCACATCTCAAGTTGCAACAGAGCATCACTCAGAGCATGAAGTCATATGACTGAGAAAGCTAATGATTTTATTATTAGTCTCATTGTTCATATATATAATGTTCAATTATTGTTTTCTCTTAATGATAAAGAAAAAGAATCTCCTAGGAGCTGAATGAATCTGGCTAAAACTGGGAACATGATGATTTACTCACCTATTCCTAATTCAACGTTCAGTTCATTATTTCAGTTAAGCTATAATGAGAATCTTAGTCCAGGCTGAACACTTCCTATGACCAGATACTAATATGCATTCAATCATAAGACATTATTTTTTAGTCTATTCAGTATATCCCCACCCCAATTTAATGTACAGTTCCCAAGACCTCAACGTGTCCTATTTCTGCATGCTGAAAATATCTTTAGCCTAATCTTGTATTTTTGCCTGAGTCAGATAATTTATTCTTAAGTATGGCATGCTTCCCTCAAGTTACAAAGGAAAACATTTTTAAAAATAGGTGTAGCAAAAAGGAAAAAAAAAATTCCACATGTCTACAAGTAAGTCAAGGCTACGAATCTCCCAAATGATAAACTAGTTACCTGCTGGGGCATGCTAGGAACTCATTTTTATAACTCATCATATAATTAGCCATGTTCAGTGTCTTTCAGCACTATGTCAAACTATATGTCATGACAAGGATAGTTTAAATTTTATTAAAGTTTGCTTTAGAAAACAGTGTACCTTATAAGTAAAAGAGAATGACTTTATACAATATTAATGAGAGCCAGAAATGGAACGGGCACTCTGCTAGGCCAACAGTAACCAAAAACATGGCCTTTTTTTTTCCAGGAAAGTTACAGTCCAGTGGAAGAATGGGGATAAATATAAATCACTGTGATACAGAGCATGGTCTACATGGCAAAAGCAATGTCTAAAGAGTGATTAATTTTGACAGGAGTGGGGGTTGAGAAAAGCTTCGCAGAAGGAAGTAACATTGAATTTGGCCTCAGAGGATCAATTAAGCAGAGAGAAGGGAAAGAACCCTGAAGACTGGGATTGGTAATTTCAATAGAGATGCAGAGTCAGGAAAAAAGTAAGGCATATTTAGGGGGCAAAATTGTGTATTATGAGTAAAACACATGGAGACTCAGAGCATGAGGGTATTGAAGAAGTTGAAGGGCCTTGAGGAATGAGGGGAGGAATGTAAACTATAATCAATACTTGAAGCAGGGAAATAGCACAGTTACTGACCTATCAGTTTGGGGTCTGGCAAAGACCGTTTTAGTGGCAGTGTTTAGGAACAGTTAGAATTCAGACTGACCTGAAGTAGACAAACCAGTGAGAAGTTGGTTGCAGTGATTTGTTGAAGAGAAAAACAGGATAACGGTGGGCTGCAGCTGAGGAAGTTGCACTGAGAACAGAAGAGGGTAGATGTTTAAGAGACTTTAAAAGTGTTATCAATAGGATTTGGTGACAAATGTCAAAAAAGCGAGAGGGAGGAGGAGCCAAAGACAATCCCCAAGAGTTCTTGCTCCATCAGTTGGATGAAGAGCAGAGACAGTCAAACCTTTGTGGCTTTGTAAAGTGCTTCCTTCAGCCTGAACTATGTGTTCCTCATGTACCTCTTGTAGCTAGCACGGCCCTCTTTCTTTCTTTCTTTCTTTCTTTTTTTAAAGATTTTATTTATTTATTTATTTATTTGAGAGAGAGAGTTTGTGCGCGCGTAGGCGCGCGCGCCTGCCCTGTGCCCAGAGGGGAGGGAGGGGCAGAAGATGAGGAACAAAAAGAATCTTAATCAGGCTCCACGCCCAGCACAGAGCCCAGCACGGTTCTCAATCTCATGACCCTGAGATCATGACCTGAGCCAAAATCAAGAGTCTCACCCTCAACCCACTGAGCCACCCAGGTGCCCCAGCCTAGCCTTCTTTCAAAGCTTAGGTCACATCCGACTACCTATTCCCAGATTTCCTGCACCGTACTCCATGCACAGCCAGAATTCATCACTTCTGTGCTTGCACAAAATGGTTTCTTTACTTCTGCTTTTTGTCATCACTTGAAAGTGATTACTTACATGTTTGTTTTCCCATGGTAGGCAAGTGCCTTGAGACACCATGTTCCACTTGTCTCTGTATTTTCCTTAAAACTCAATATGGTTACTAGCAACAAATAACCTCTACTGTTCTTTCCATGTGTGACATTTCTGGATATTGTCCAGAATATCTGGACCAGAAGAGTGGTCCAAAGAGAGGCAGTATAACAATGATCCTCAAAGTGTGGTGCATATGTTACTGGGGAAATATGGAAAGTAATGTTAAGTATGGAAAGATTTTTAATGGCTTCTGTTTTATATTTATAAAATAGAGTAATAATGCAGAAATAAAAATAGGATGAGTATGAGTTAGTGATATATGTAAACTATGTAAATTAATCTCAAACATATTATATTGAAGAAAGAAGCCAAACATGAAAAAATCATGACTTCATTTCTATGAAATTCACAAACAGTAAAAATTAATCTATGTTGATAGAGATCAGAACAGTGGTTGCCTGTAGAGACAAGATTTTACTAGACGGGTGTGCAATTTCTAGAGTCATGGAAATATTTTATATTTTTATTAGGTTATTGATTTTACAGGTTTATATCATTTTTCAAAAGTCATTGTATTGTATCCTTAAGTTTCATATGTTTCATTCCAAGTAAACTTTATCTCGATTAAGGGAACAAAATTCAGGAAAATTCAAATATCATCTTGGTTTAATTGATACCAAGGAGTTTTTCTTATCAATTTTATTAGAGTATGATGATAGCATTATGTAAGAACATGTTCATAATATTTAGATATATATGCCAAAGTATATATGGGTGACATGATATGATATAGCTATCATAGATTACTTTGAAATAATTCATCAGATATGAAAATGATACAAAAGGAGATAATTAAAGCAAATGTGTCATAATATTGATAAGTGTGGAATCTGGGTGAGGAGTATGTAGGAGTTCATTTTATTATACTCTCTAATTATGTATATATTTAAATTTTCAAAATAAAAATAGACTTTATAAGAACAACTTACCAAAAATCAAATTACCATGTGGATAATATTAAACCCTATACTCAATCCAACAGCAAATTCTGTTGCCTCTAACTTGAAAATGTATCCAGAATACATCAATTTTACCTCCCTCCCCCACCACAACACACAGTGTTACCTCCCAGGGTCCAACCAACTTCATCTCTCAGCTGTACTAGGTGAATAATCTCCTGACCATTCTTCCTATGTCCAGTTATCCCATGGAGTCTATGGTCCACATTAAATTCAGAAATATTCTTTTTTTTTTAAAGATTATTATTATTTTTTTTATTTTAGAGAGACAGAGTGAATGGGGCAAGGGGCAGAGGGAGAGAATCTCAAGCAGACTCCCCACTGAATGCAGAGTCCAGTGCAGGACTCCATCCCATGACACATGAGGTCCTGAGCTGAGCTGAAACCAAGAGTTGGATCCTTAACTGACAGAGCCACCCAGGTACCCCAGAACTATGTCTTTTAATACCCAAGTTCTCCCCTGTAATTCTCTATGCTCCACTCACACTGGTTTCCTGGTATCTCTCAAAAAAAACAGAAAATAAAAACAAACAGACAAAATAAGCCAAGAACTCAGCCTACTTCAAGGTCTTTGAACTTGTTTTTTCCCTCTGCATAGAAGCTATTTCCCCAAAGAAACTAGAGGTTTCACTTCCTCATCCTCTGCTCAAATGTCACAGGATCAGAGAGGCTTTCTTTGACTTCTACATATGAAATAGCACCATCTTGCCTATGCTATGCACCTTCTATTCCCCTTTATTTGCTTTATTTTTCTTCTAGTCCTTCATCACTACATGGAATATTATATACTTTTTCATCTGCCCTCTCTGACTAGAATGCAATCTTCCTGGGGGCAGTTTTATTCACTGGGGAGTCCCTAGCACCTCAACTAGTGTAAGGCTCAGAGCAGATATACAATAAATAGTCATTGTTGAAAGAAGAACCAAATGGGTCCCAGTGCCACCTTTGACTTCGAATTTATAAATTTAGCTTAGAACTTTGAACAAAAGGAAGTCCATTCCTCTCACCCTAAAACAGTGTTACCTGCCCAGGGGCAGGATGGAGAAGCCATGGCAAATTAATTCACCTATGACATGGCCACAAGATTAGAAGAATAGACAAGATCTCAAACTAAAGAATGGCAGGTCTCGTGGGACTCCATTGGGCCCACTCATCCTCTAGGAATGATTCACTCCTCTCTGGCAAGGATTGGGTGGTTATGGAGGGGAACACCTATTCTTTCCTCCTAATCCCAAGAAGACCAAATTCCCATTTGTGGACCAAGGGAGAAATACTTGGAAAAGAATAGAACATTTCCTACCACAATGAAGATAATGATGATGACTATAATAAAGAAGATAATGATGGGCCTTTTCCCAACCTCAATTTCCTTCTCGGCCTATCAGAAATAAATTAGATTCCAGGAAAATGGGCAGAGAGCACTGTTTTTTCTTCTCCATCCGAGTTTACTCTCCCTCATGTTTATTCTAAGCCCAAGGACTCTACCCACCCACCCACAGATATGCACACAAAGACAACTGGGTGTATTGTGTTGAAGGAGATGATGATCCTTTCTAGGAAGAATATGACTAAATGTTAGAGAGGACAGTGATGATTCAGATTTGTGGCAACAAGTATATACTTGAGAATTTTCTAGAACCAAACCAGATTAGCCTTACAATTTACTAACTCTATAACCCTACACTTTGTTTAACTGATTCTGCATCTTTTCTGTAGAACACATAAATAATGCCTCCTGGATAGAGGAATAAATAAATAAATTTATTTATTTATTTATTTATTTATTCCAGGATGATGTAAAATCTTTTTAAGGGGGGTTTCTTCTTAGACTTTATGGGGGAGAGGGGATCCCTTATCCCTGCCTGTCTTTCTTCTGACTATCCTTCATTATAAATGTTCTGATTATATTTTTCCTCACTATAAACCATGGAATAGTTTTCCTTATAGTAATGATAAACAGGAATTTTGCTTTGTAATTATTAATACAGGGACTCTGGTGTAACCAATGGAAAGTGGCGATGTTCTTAAATTCCTTATTAAAAAATAAAATGTGTTTCACAGCTTAAACCCTTTTCCTGATAATTTTTTGCTAGATGTTCAATAAGGAAAGAATGGCAGTGGTACTGTAACACTAAAGATTTACTTCACATTGTCTTTTCATGAAGACGTCAGGTAAAGCATTTGTGAGGGAGGAGCTTTAAGACAGTAGCTGGAATCCAATATCTAAGTTCCATCTGCCACTGAGCTATTTGGCGAAGATAACTTTATTTTGGCAACTCGTGAGAAAAAGGAAGAATCAGGCATGAGGTGCTAGGATACCATTCAGCAGTTCTAAATGCTAGCATAGGATCTATTCAACATCTCCTGTTAATGATTTGGATAGAGAGTAAGGTGGCATGCATATCTAATCTGCCAGGACCACAAAGAATGGCAAGGTAATGAATGGCACTGTGGTCAACTGGAGAGTTAAAAAGACCAGGACAGGTGGAATGCTGGACTAAAATGAGCTGTCATAAGAGATAAATACTGAATGATATTTATAAAATTGTAGAATGATGTAAATAGCAAAAGTACCATACAATCGTTAATCATTCATCCAGCTCCTTTGGTAAAGAGATGCAGATACGTTCCTCACAATGTGTATTTGGTCTAATTGAGGAGACAGAACCACAAAAATCAAAGTGCAGTGATGGGCATATTCATTTAAGTACAGAGAAGTAACATCAAACTCATCCAGTGGACAGCAAAGGGATAAAGGCCAGTGAAATAGGTTCTCAAGCTGAGTAGGTTTTTATTCCAGCTGGAGATGCAATGGAGAGAGACACACAGATGAAAGTTAGTTTGGCGTATGCAGAAAATTTTGAGCACTACACACAGAGAAGGAAATCGTGAGAGGTGATACCAGAGAAACAGAGTAAGCCATAGAGACACTAAGTCATGAAGAGGAGCGGGATTTACCTCATAGGCATGAAGAGCTAAAGCAGAGATACAACAAGGAGTTGACCGGTTCAGACTATGTTTCATGTGGATCACGCAGGAAGTAAGTGGAGGATGATTATGATGGGAAGGAAAAAGAGACAGAGGAAGGAGAGAAGACTGGGGGGACAGACCCAGGTCAGAGGCATCAGAGACTTAAATTAATACAGTGTTGTAACTGTGGGTGCTCTAGACTCTAAGATCTAGAAAGAAGATCCAAAGTTCATTAAAAAAAGTTTTTTTTAAAAAAGCAGGAAGAGTCCTAGGTCATGGAAACCACAGAAATAGAGAATTTTAAAGAGGAAGAGATGACTTACAGTATTACATGGCACACATAAGAGGACTATAAAAATGACCTTCAAATTTCACAGTCAGATTGTTAGACTTAATAGGAACAATTTCAGTAGAGCGGTTGACATGGAAGACACATTAAAGTGTATTTTAAAAAAAATGGA